TTATCCCATCTTATTAGTAAATACAGGAACAATGTTGCAGTGCATTGAAAGTACAGATAGTCCTCAAATTACAACTGGTCATTTACGATGTACTGTAAAAAAAGTTATTTATGTCCCATCCTCAAAGTTATAACTGCCCCATATCTCCTACAGTCATGTGAGGTGTAGTTTAGCTGCTTGGCAACCAGGTCATATTTATGATGGGTTGCAGCATTTTGCAATCATGTGATTTTGTTTTGCAAATATTTTGCTATTTTTTGCAGCAAAAAGATAAGCTAGATTTGGAGTACACAATCATGTGATTTGCTTAATGATCACATGACTCATTTAGTAATTGTCATAAAACTCTCATAAAATCAAGTCCAGTCACATGGTGACACGACTTATGACTGCAATGATTTACAACCAAAATTCCAAACAAAATTGAGGTTGTAAGTTGAGTACTATCTGCATAGCATTTAAAAATGCTGCAACAAGCTGGGATCTATCCATAGACTTTGATGGAAATGGCCAAACATTTGGAGAAACATTACTGGTTTTATTAGAATTTACAGAATCCTAAAATTTTAGGATGCAAAGGGGTCACTAAGGCCATTCACTCATCCAGTCCCAGTGCTGAAATGCCAATCAAAGCATCCATGATGGGTACTATGTAGTTTTTTGCTTCAGAGGGATACAATCAAGATCAAGTGATCAAGCCACTCTGTTAAAGCCTTAGTAAGATCACACCTAGAATATTGCATCAAGTTTTGATCACCACACTATAAAAAAGATGTTGAAAGAAGGCTAAAACATATGATGAATGGTTGCAGGAACTGAGCATGGCTAGTCTAGTGAAGAGAAGGACCAGGGGAGACATGATAGCAGTCTTCCAATATTTGAGAGGCTGCCACAGAGAGGAAGGGGTCAAGCTATTTTCCAAGGCACCTGAAGGCAGGCCAAGAAGAAATGGGTGGAAACTGAACAAGGAGAAATTTAACCTGGAAATAAGGTGAAGTTTTCTGACAGTGAGAACAATTAATCCATAGAACAGCTTGCCTTCGGAAGTTGTGGGAGCTTCATCCCTGGAAGCTTTCAGGAAGAGATTGGACTGCCATTTGTTGGAAGTGGTGTAGGGTCTCCTGCTTGAGTGGGGGTTTGGGTTAGATGACCTACAAGGTCTCTTCTAACTCTGTTAATCTGTTCATCCAAGGAAAAGGAGTTCAACCCCTTTCTTGCAGTCTGTTTAAACAGTTCTTACAATTCAAGAGTTTTTTTCCCCAATGTGCATATGGAATCTATTTCCCTGTAACATAACTGCAAAGAGCAGGTTTCCTAAAGGGATCTGAAATATTTATCTGGCTGTTTCCACGCGGCGCCATTTTGTGGGAATAAGTCATCTTCCCAATAAAAGAAAATGAACTTTGTGGGCAAAAATGACCCTTGCTGTTTTCTTATCCTTTTTCCTCTCTGTTTCAAAAGGGCGATGGGACCTTGGTCTCATTCTTTGAAAAAGGATTGGAGTCTGTTGTAAACATGCGAGACACAAAGCTATATTTTACTTCAATATGCAGCTGCAAGGATGTCTTTAATTGCTCTTGGTTGAAAAAGTACAGCATTTGCTGCACAAAATTAGCATACAAACATGATGAACAGTTTTGAGATATTTTTAATGGGAAATGATGTACAAATGTCATAAAGGAATAAATGTGGAACATTTAATAAAAAATACCATGACATAATACCCAAGAGAAGTAATTAAAGGGATGATTACAAACAATTTTCATTAGTTTATTTATTTGTTCATTTATTTATTTGTATCCAGCCTTCATTTATCTTTTCTTTTATGTACACTGAGAGCATTTGCACCAAGACAAATTCCTTGTGTGTCCAATCACACTTGGCCAATAAAGAATTCTGTTCTGTTCTGTTATGTCCTGTTCTGTTCTGTTCTGTCCTGTCCCATTCCATTCCATTCCATTTTATTCTATTCTGTTCTATTCTGTCCTATTCTGTCCTATTCTATTCTGTTCTGTTCTGTTCTGTCCTATTCTGTCCTGTTCTATTCTGTTCTGTTCTGTTCTGTCCTATTCCATTCCGTTCCATTCCGTTCCGTTCCGTTCCATTCCATTCCATTCCATTCCATTCCATTCCATTCCATTCCATTCCATTCTATTCTATTCTATTCTATTCTATTCTATTCTATTCTATTCTATTGTATTCTATTCTATTCTGTCCTATTCTATTCTATTCATTTTACAAATAACTCAAGGTAGTTAATATATCCAACACACCTTCCTCCTCCTATTTTCCCCACATCAACCGAGTCACCCAGCTTGCTTCCAGAGCTAAAGCAGGGTTAGAAATCACAGTCTTTTGCTGATTGGTCCAAAGTCACCCAGCTGGTTTCAGGCCTAAGGTGGGACACTCATGGTGTCTTGCTTTCTAGCCTGGTGTCTTAACCATTAGACCAGGCCTGTCAAGCTTGATTGGATCACATAATATATTGTGATGTTTTTTGCCTTTGCGTAGCTGGGGTGAGCATGGCCTCCATGTGACTTATCTGGCCCACGGGTGGCCAGTTTGACAGACCTGCATTAGACCAAACAGGCTCTTTATGTTTATTGTTGCAAATAATCTATTAAAGTTTTCACATGCCTGAACCAAGCCCATATTATTCCCAATCAACCTGTTCAAATAGTGAAGTTTGATTTGTTCCATATTATTTTCTTTACAGGGTATACCAGGAGCTGCTGGTCAGCCAGGAATAGATGGACAAAAAGGAGAAAAGGTGAAAAGATGAAACGACAGCTAAGGTGTAATGGTTATTTGCAGGAGGGAAAGGGGTCAGGGCTAAACATGAAAAGAATTACAGGTAATTCTTGACTTATGACCACATTTTGAACTTTTCTCCCAAAGTCATTAAAAGAGTTGTGCCCGATTTAATGATCTTTTTTTTTTTGCCATGGTCATTAAGCAAATCACCATGATCCTTAAACAAATCATGATGTCGTTAAGCAAATCTGACTTCTACCATTGACTTAGCTGTTGGAGGATCCCTGGGAAGGTTGCAAATGGTGATCACATGATTCTGAGAAACTGCACAACCATTGTAAATACACAATAGCGGTCAAGTGTTCACATTTTGACCAGGGGACACTGGGGCAGTTGTAAGTGTGAGGAGTCAATTTTTTTCAGTACTTGCATAACTATGAATAGTCATTAAATGAACAGGTGCAAGTCAAGGACTACCTGTATCATCATCATAATCTTTTAACGACCCCATAATCCCTTGTGGGGTGGAGTCTGGGCAACTGAATAGATCTGAGTGTTTACTGGCCAGATGCCCTTCTTGTCACCAATGAGGAGTTTTGTTCAGCAGATATACTCTCATTGTGCCCAGAGAGAGAAATATCTGCCTCTACCTAGGATCGAACTCACAGCCTCCTGACTGTGAGGTGAGAGCTCCACCTCTAGGCCACCATACCACTCTCAAGGACTACCTGTACAATAACATCAAATGCCATATCTTATACTTGGCGTCAAACATTGTGATGCTAGTACTGTATGTAATGTTGGCATTCGCCTGATGAAATGACCATGTTGTGGCTCATCATTTTGGCTTGCCAAAGATGCTGCTTAAATAACATGCAAACCTTATTATACATTAAATAAAGCAGTTACCGGTACGCTCTTTTATCTCCTCTATCTGATGCTGTGCATGTCAAATATTGTCATGTACCGGCTGAACAGCAATAAGCAGGGTTGCAATTAGTATCCTTCAGACAGTTTTATTAGCTGAACCATAACAGATAATGGTAGAGCTATCGGTTGTAAATTAGGCAGAGAAATCTCTGCAGGGAAGGTACCTCTTCTTGTAATTTGTAGCTGTGGCTTAAACACAGCCAAAAGGAGAGTGTCTGATAGTCTAAGGCCAACAATCTCTAGGCTGGGGATTGTAATTGTTTTTAGGTCAAGGAATCAGGAGAAATCAAGGATGTGAAGCCCAAGGAAGGCAGGTCTAACATTGCAACTAGAGCAGGGGTGTCAAACTGGTGGTGTCATGTGACATATCAGGGCTTTTTTTTCCCCTTCGCTAAACTGGGTGGGGGCAGGACCAGCACATGACACATCCGGCCCGTGGGCTCCAAGTTTGACACCCATGAATTAGAGGAAAGGAGTGTCAGGACTCCAACAAATCCACCCCCATTCAAATCGTAAGTCTCTAGCCTCATCTCTCAGAGAAAAGAAAACTGATTTATTAGAAGTGGCCATGTGGGTGTTAGCTGGATGCAGCCAACACTAAATTACATTTTTTATTTCCCCCTTGACCTTGATCTTCCCCCCATTCCTTCGATGTGTATTCTCCAATGGGACACATCCATCCCCGAGAGTCATCTATCATGCTCTTCAGTAATATCCTTGCACTCTGACAACTTTGGGCTGCCAGGGTAATTATCTAGGCACTTAAGGAATGCACTGTTTTCCCCCACTCCCTTTTTCTGGCAGCTGAAAAGATCAAACAAGTGTCTTTTTAGTTGGCATTGAGTTTAAAGCATTGTATAATTAGAGGATTGAATGCCTTGTCCTCTAAAGGTGGTATGCCAATGTTGGTTGCTCAGCCTTCCTTAGCTAGCAATATGTTTTAGGGCCTCCAGCTTCCCAAGTTGAAGATTCAACTCCTTATTCTCCAAATAATCATCATCTTCCATCATTGGGTCTCCGTCATCATTCCCAGGAAGCTCATAGCGTATTTGCTATATAACTACTGGCTGAGAATCTGCCTCTTCAGCTTCAGAATCAGAGAAATTTATGATACATACTTTTCCTTTTGCTAGCCTTTACATGGACAGTCAAAAAGCACCTTTGGGATAACCATGACCTAGATGACTGAGAATCTCCATTGTTTTGGCCACTATTTTTGCATTACTTCTGTGCCATTATCCTCAAAGGCGCATAGAAGGTAATGAAGAGTTAGGTTACATTCAAATCTTCCAGGTCACTTTTGTGATTTTATACAAATGAGATGTTTCAGACCTAGAGGGGAAAAGGAAAATTATATTAAAATAAAAACAAAATAAAAGTTTGTTAAAGATCACTTAATAGCAATAGCAAGTTTATATACTGCTTCACAGTGCTTTACAACCCTCTCTAAGTGATTTGCAGAGTCAGCATACTGCCCCCCAAAATCTGGGTCCTCATTATACCAACCTCAGAAAGATGGAAGGCTGAGTCAACCTTGAGCCAGTGGGAATCAAACTGCTGGCAGCCTACAGTATGCAGAAGTAGCCTGCAGTACTGCATGCTAATCACTGGGCCATCACAGTTCATTTTTCTAGCCTTAAGGATGTGTTTTCCACATCCTACATTCTCCTCATTGGTGGTCACCTGGTTTCATTATTTCTTTGTCATACAAGTAGATAATGGATGAATAAACTGAATGAATTACATGCTTGAAGGGAAGCTGGTACAATGAGGCTATTAAAAGTCCATTTGATGTAAATAAATATTTGCAATCCAACACTGAAGTACTTATATTGATTTCCACAAGGTTTTTAGGAGAAAATTCTAGAATTTTTTCTTGGCTTCTCTAGTTAGGAAGAACAGGTGATGAGCAACCCAGAGTCCTTCCCAGTCTGAGTGAAAAACCTTTGATATTGATTAATTAAATAAGTAGAAGGTACTGCCTGCCTCATAGCCTGTCCTAATTGTCCCCTATTCCCATTGCCTCTTCTGCAGGGAGAACCTGGTAAGGAAGGAAAATCAGGTCCACCTGGGCCTACAGGTGAACCAGGAGCTGTTGGAGAACCTGGATTACCTGGAAAGGGTCGAGATGGAGAAAGGGTAAATTTAATTCCTAAACTATTTCTGCGAGCAGATACTTACTGAAGAAGACCCTCGAGACTCCCTTGGATTGCAAGGAGATCCAATCAGTCAATCCTAAGAGAAATGAATGAATGAATGAATGAATGAATGAATGAATGAATGAATGAATGAATTCTTTATTGGCCAAGTGTGATTAGACACACAAGGAATTTGTCTTTGGTGCATATGCTCTCAGTGTACATAAAAAGAAAAGATACATTCAACAAGAATCATAAGGTACAACACTTAGTATAGTCATGGGGTACAAATAAGCAATCAAATTGTATTAGGAAACAGTCAATATAAATCGTAAGGATACAAGCGACAAAGTTACAGTCATAAGTGGGAGGAGATGGGTGATAGGAACAATGAAAAGATTAATAGTAATAGTAATGCAGATTTTGTAAATAGTTGGACAATGTTGAGGGAATTATTTATTTAGCAGAGTGATGGCATTTGGAAAAAAACTGTCCTTGTATCTAGTTGTTGGTGTGCAGTGCCCTATAGCATCGTTTTGAGGGTAGGAGTTGAAACAGTTTATGTCCGGGATGTGAGGGGTCTGTAAATATTTTCACAGCCCTCTTTTTGACTCATACAGGCCCTTGATTGAAGGCAGGTTGGTAGTAATTGTTTTTTTCTCCAGTCCTAATTACTTTCTAAAGTCTGTGTCTGTCCTGTTGGGTTGCAGAACCAAACCAGTTATAGAGGTCCAGATGACAGACTCAATCATTCCTCTATTGAACTGGATCAGCAGCTCCTTGGGAAGTCTGAGCTTTCTGAGTTGGTGCAGAAAGAACATTCTTTGTTGTGCTTTTTTGATCACGTTTTTGATGTTAGGTGTCCATTTTAGGGCTGACAAATCAACTCTGTCCTTTGGAAGGACAGATACTGAAGTTGAAGCTCAAATGCTTTGGCCACCTAATGAGAAGATGAGAAGTTCTTTGGAAAAGAACTTGATGTTGAAAAAGATGGAAGGCGAAAGAAAAAAGAGATGGCAGAGGATGAGATGGTTAGATAGTATCATTGACACAATGAACATGAGTTTGGGCAGACTCCAGGAGACAGTGGAGAATGGGAGGGGGTATCTGACAAGCTGTGGGCCGTGGGGTTGCGAAGAGTCAGGCATGACTTAGTAACTGATCAATACAAGCTTGTCCATTTAGGAATGATCTGATTGAACCAATTTACTCATTTTGTGAGATATAATTCTATTCTCTACTTTGTCATTGGTTTAGCTGAACATTTTTTTATTTGCATTTTCAGCTGTCTTCCCTTCTCCTATGAACTGTTGCCCAGAAACACAATATCAGGATAAAGCATATTAAAAAGGCTATGTCAAAATGCTGCTACTATTATTAATTCCTGTCAAGTTTTAATTTAATTGGGTTGCATGTATTCTTCTGCATCCTGGCAACCATTAGAGGAAAGAAACTGAAATTGGAAGAACAATAGGTTGAACCATTTATGAAATTAAAGATGAAAGCACGAAATTTGTGAACTCTTGCAAACACAATTAGGCGGTCTTCTCTGTAATTCAATGCTTGCGTTTGCCAATGATTTAGTGATTGACATAGTTGCTTTTCTGAGTTCACGAACTACAATGAATCATCAACTAACCCAATAAGCTAGGTTTGTAGAAGTGTTATGCCACACCTACACACATATATGCACACAAAACCCTAAACAAAGTTAAAACTAAGTGAGATATGCACAGAGCCTATGAGTAAATTTGGAAGAAGAAAATTTCTGAAGCACCTCATACAATCGATCCAAAGAGAAGCTAATTATTGGAAGACTGCAGATTAAATATTGACTAGTCTTTTAGGAAGCAAACAATATTTAATCATTTATTTAATGTATATGCCACTCACCTCATTCCAAAAAGAGGATACCGTAGGAGATTAAAGAAATTTGATGGACACATAGGAAATGAAAGTACTATCAATTGGTCTCCCTCCAAAAGAGGACATGTAAATTACGTCCTCAAACTTAAAGGGCCCTATTTAGGTTCGAAAAAGGCTATCTGATTACTTGATACACAAAGTATTATCATTTCACTCCAAATGTCAGAAAAGAGGAGGAAATCCCATCCCAGTTGTGATCTATTCAAACATTTCCACCCTTGCATTTTTTTTTTTTTTTTTGCTCCATGGTTTAGAGCTATGAGCTTCCTGATTGGTTTTTTTTTTTAAAGACTATCAAGGTTGCAAAAAGCTTCAAGATAGTCTGCTTCTTGTATATCATGGCTGGGATGAGACAACATAACCAGTTGGTTGGCGAACATGGCTTAAGTAGTTTGTGGGTTTCCAGGCCATTGTCTTTGTATGATAATGAACTTGACCATCGAATTAAGCAGCTAAAGGACAATTTGTTTGGGAATACTTTGCCATGTTTTCTGAACATAGCAAGACAGCAAACCTCAATGTAATGGACCATTTTGGAGTGCTATATACTACTACGTATTTGTTGGAGTTTAAAGGATGTGGAACACATTAATTTATGTAATTTTGTTATAGGCATAAATATAATAAATTGAATGTAAATATAAATAGCCCATCAAGACTACTTTGATTAACTTGTCTATTATTTCAGGATAGAATTTCCAAACAGAAGTGTTTTCCATTACATCCAAAATTTATTAAAATTGAGGGTTACTTTGTAACATATTAATCACCCAAGCTTAAGTGGTTATGATTTGTTCTTTGTAAATGGGTTCCCCACCTGTCTCTTCTTGAGAGTAAGCAGATTCAGGGATGGAATTCATGTTCTTTTTCAGAGGACTAATAAATGGATGTATTTGACTTTCCAGTTGGGAAGATTGTGTTAACTTATTTTATATCTGTGTGTCTTTCTAGGGTGAAAGAGGTCCACCAGGTTTACCTGGATCCTTTGGGTCTAAGGTGAGTACCTGCTTTGCCATTCTATGATAAACGGAGGTACATTTCCTGCTTTCAGAAGAACAAATCTGGCCAGACATTATTTCAGGAATGAAGAATGCCATCTGTTGCCCCTATCCTGCTCAGATATGATCTCTACCCAAGGTCTCTCAATCAGATGTAATGACTTCCCACCAGCAGTGGGATTCTACCTGTTCCATTACCGGTTTGGTGATCATGCATGCACACACCTAACAGGCACACACAGCTTTCCACACATCAGCTGAGGCCTGCAATCCACCAATCAGTTAAGAGGAGAAAGAAGAGAAAAGTGCAGGGGCGAGTGGGAGGGTCGATCCTGCGCTTTTCTCTTCTTTCTCCTCTCAGCTGATCTTCAGAAGCTTTTTTTTTTTTTTACTACCAGTTCAGTTGAACTGGTAGGAATTTTTGCTACCAGTTCGACTGAACCGGGCCGAACCAGTAGTATACCACCACTGCTTCCTACTCTGCTGGTTGTAAGAACACTGTTCAGTCCATGTCTGGTCACTTCTGGGCTTCTGACCATCGAATCTAATGTTATGTTCAGCAGAGGAACCACAACTATGACAACAACCCCTTCCTTCCTTCCTTCCTTCCTTCCTTCCTTCCTTCCTTCCTTCCTTCCTTCCTTCCTTCCTTCTAGACTTTTTTTTCTTTGAAGATGTTTTGCTTCTCGTTTCACTTCTCATCCAAGAAGCTTTTTCAGCTGTGAAGACCAAAGCTTCTTGGATGAGTAGCGAAACGAGAAGCAAAACATCTTCAAAGAAAAACAAGAAAGTCCAGTT